AAAGCCCTTCTGTGGGGCAGAGTGGCGTGTGTGTGTGTGTGGAGCCCACACAGTCCTCCTGGGACTCTGCGTCACCTCTGATGTCTTCATGTGCAGTGCTGTGGGGACAGTGGCTACACTGATGGCTGGTGGTGGGATGACCAGGTGAGGTGTCTGCACGTGTTAGGGTCAGATGGAATTCTCTCTCCAGATGTTTTTCATCCATGTCCAGCAGGATGGGCAGATGTGAGCCCCAGCCCTGAGCACTGTGTGTGCTGAGCGGTGGGTTCAGAGAGCCGGGCACGAGGACGGGAGCTCCACCCAGCCTGGCCAAAACTCCCAGAACTCCTTCCATCTGCCAGAGGACGTGTCCTTACTGTCCGGAGGGCTCCCCAGGGCCTGCAGGAGGCAGAGCCTGGCTGTGGTGCGGCCACTGCCCCCATGATGAGTGCCACTGCCTGGAGCCACCTCACAGGACTCTGCCCTGCAGACAGCTCATAGCAAGTGGCTGTGTGGCGGGACGCATTTTGAACCCAGCCCCGTGGTGGGTTCTTCCCAGTGCCTGCCTGGGCTAGAAGAGGCCCCGAGACAGAAAGCAGGACAAGCCTTTACCCCAGAAAAGCATTAGCTGCCAGCGAGGATGAGTTAGGGGCAGAGGCTGAGGAAGTGTCCGGAACTGAGATCCATCATGTCATGTCACAGAGGCCCGAGCACAGCTGCCCCCGATATTTTTCAATATTATGCTCCAGTGTCTCCTCCTCTCCCGCATCCTGTCAGTGCGAGATGAAAGGGGTTCGATTTTGCACGAATGTCATCCCAGGTCAGGGAGGTGGCAGGCCCAGCTGGACGCCCAGGTCCTCTCTGGGCTTCTGGAGAGATGCCGAGTGGCAAGGGGCCCTGGGGTGTGTGTGTGCTGGGGGCGATGGGTTCCTCTGCAGCGGGAAGTGAGCCATATGGGAGGGGACTGGCTTGCTTCTGTGTCCCGGGGAGGATGTAGCTGCTCAGTTTCTAACCGTGGCTGTCTTAATGGAAGAGCAGACTCCCTCCTGGAGAAAGGGTGCTCCTGGGCAGTTTTCATGGAGCTTAGAAGTAGTTCTGGGGGCGCTGCCTCTGTCCTGCCAAGTCCTGACTCCAGAATCCCAACAGTAGCCGGCACCTTCCATTCTATCTTCTGAGGAGTGCAGACCTCGGGCCACTTTAACTTAAGCCTCAAACTCTCCCAGCCCCAGGGTCCTTCCATCCCATTTTTCAGAAGAGCCTGAGGCTGCTCTGAAGTCTGTCCTTCTCTCCATCAAGGAGCCTGGCAGAGGGAAGGACAGCCTGTGACAGTGGCCACGGGCCGGGCTCCAGGGAGTTTGGCCCTGATTTTTACCTTGCACTTTCCCAGCTGAGACATCGAGGAGATTCTCCCTGCTGCTGAGCTTGGTCTCTCACTCTCATCGTGGAGCAGCTGAGGGCACTGCATGCCCCTCAGTGCCCCTCAGGTGGTGTCCGCCCGCGTCTGGCACCGCGTCAGCCTAAATGGCATTTCGTGAAGAATCCTGCTATAAAGGACATTTGCAAACACTGTCCCTAGGCTCTGCTCACCCCGGTTCTGGGGACTCTGGAATGATTTGACCTTGGAGCTCCACACACAGGCAGGGACATTGTCACCATGAGCCTGTAGCCGGCGTTTGCTTACCTGTCCAGCTAAGAGGCAGCAGAGCTGGGAGAAGGAGCAGGCGGGAAGCCAGGGACAGATCCAGGACACTCGGGCATCTTCCTAGGACCTCCCCCGCCCTCCTGCCAGACAAACGCTTTGCTTCAGCCTCAGCAGCAAGTGTCCAGAACTTGGTGACACACAGACATGGACATGTCACCACTATGACAGGACAAAGGTCTCCAGTGGTGCCTTTTGCTCCTTGCTTGGTGTTTGAGGCCAGGCCCAGGCCCTGCCACCCAGGAGCCCTGCAGGGCTCCTCTGCCTGCCTCTCCAGGTGCTGCTGGCTTGTGTGTGGCAGAAGGGACACTTTCAGGTCCTAATCCTTGCCTGGCACTAACAAGCCGTGCAACTTTTGAGGCCAACGACCTTGCAGCCCCTGTTTTTTACCTAGGAAGGTGGAAAAGGCGGGAAGCATCTGCTGCCGTCTGTGGTTGTGCCTCAGTTGGGAGAGGTGCGCGGGGGCTGCTTGGGCTCTCTGCGTGGGGGCCCTAACAATGACGGTGACACAGTGTAGATGAGCCAGGGCTGCTCCAACAGGGATCCTGGTGATGGGAAGCATCTCCTACCATTTGCTCCTCTCTCTCTGCTCCCTGAAATTCTGCTTTTCCACAGGAAGGAGAGCCAACCCAGTCCTCGCTCATCTTTTTCCACGTGTCTTAGAAAGGACATTGTCTTAGGAGCTCGCTCGCTGAAGACCGTCTGGGTCTCAACCCCAGGAGCATCTGTGCTCCAGAGCATCAGGACCCTGTGACCATGGACTCCGTGTCTTCTACCCCCAAACCCAGGAGTCGTCCTGCTACTGAGAGCGAGGACTCGGAGATCTGAAACAGAGAGCAGGGAAATCTCCTAGGCCGTTACCCGAGCAAGTCAGTCTTTACTTACGTGTTTTATTCATTTCTCACGGTCCCCCCCATGAACGTGATTTTGAGATGTCTGCAGTAAAAATCGAGAATGAGTTTTTGGATTTTTCCTTCCATGAATATAATCTCTTCATCATTGTAATGAGTGCACATTCAAGTGACCATGCCATAATTTACCTAGCTGTTGCCATCACTTACGTTGCTTGTGACTGTAGTATCCAGAGATCAGTGTGAAGGTGCCAGCGCTCACCACCACCCTGTTTTTTCCCCTCTCCTAAACCCTTTCTATAGTTTTGGCTGGTTACTTTTGGGGTTAGTGAGGTCCCTGCCTCTGCCCTGTGCTGTGGGACGTGGCATGTCCTTTTTTTTTATCTCCGGAATGGCTCCTTAGCATCAGGACTGGCTGGTGCAGCTGGTCTGCGGCTTGGTGGTCAGGAGGGGAGGACGAGGACAAGAGGCCCGTGCGGGTGGGAATTCCAAGCTCAATGTCGCCTTCAAGTGAGCACCACAGGAACTGCAGGACCAGGGCTCCTCCTTGATGGGGGCTCCTCTGGTTTCGGAGGGCCGTCCAGTCTGAAGTCTGGGGAAGATGTCCACCTGGGACACAGATGGACCTGGGACCCCGAGAAGACGGTTGCCAGGCAGCACATTGCCTCTGTTTAGTTTCTGTTCCATAGAAGAGGGAAGGGCTGAGAAGGGAGAGGGGAGACTGGGAGAGAGTGAATGTGAGCACAGCCCCCATTAATTAAAAGGCTACCACAGGCCAGTCTTGCCAAGTGTTTATGTCCATCAGGGCTAAATTTTATAGCAATAAAAAAAAAACACCCTGCTGTCTTACAGAAGAAAAAGGCTCAGAGAAGTCAGTTGCCCAGGGTCAGTCAGCTGCCAGAGGCAGGAGACAGGTTCAGAAGAGCCTGATGGGTTCTCAAGTCTTGCACATTTCACTATGCAACTGCCCAGACCGGAGGACATGGGCCCCATAGATGGCAAAACCCCACCCCACAGCACGTTCCTCTGACTGGGAAGCTCTGTCCTCTGTGTCCCTGGGGCTTTTACTGGTAGGGATGAGGAATCAAGCACCAAGCCCTCTGACCCCCCCCCCCATCCTGGTTCCTCAAAGGTGCTGGAAGGTCAGTGGCCTGCCTCCCTGTGGCTCAGGGTCCTGCACCCCCTGCTGTTGAGCCACGCCCAGCCTCTCCCTTTCTCTTCCCCACTTTATTTTCTTTTTTTTGGTACTGGGGATTGAACCCGAGGCCACTCAACCACTGAGCTACATCCCCAGCCCTATGTTGTATTTTATTTAGAGACAGAGTCTGAGTTGCTTAGCACCTTGCTAGTTGCTGAGGCTGACTTTGAACTCGCGATCCTCCTGTCTCAGCCTCCTGAGCCGCTGGGATGACTGGCGTGCTCAACCGCGCCAGGCATTCTTCCCCATTTTGTTTAAAAAAACAGTATTCTCTAGGTTAAACACCAAGAAAGTGTTAGAAAAAGAAAATATGGAAACCCCACAATCCCAATTTCCAGATAACCACTATTAAAAAAAAAAAAAAGGCGTTCCAATAGAAAAGAGTTCAAAACAGCACAGAAAGGCCGAAAATCAGAAGCGACCTCCTGCGGTTCCTTGAAGAATTTCCTTTGGCACAGAACGACGGACCTCTACTTGTTTAGGGATCTCCACGGTGTCCACCACCGGACCGCACCGTGCGCAACCAGCTCCGTGCTTTTCCCGTGGTCGCTGCCTGCTCCTTTCGCCAGGGCAGGGTTCCTCTCCTGTCGGTGCCGCGGTGTTTTACGAGGCCTCTTGGGAGCGGGCGCGGATGCTCGGTGTTTCCAGGGTTTTCTTCGGCGGGCGCCGCAGCCACCGATCTCCCGCGCAGCCGCGCTTCCCACAGCCTGGGGACCAGCCCCGCGCACCTGCGAAGGCGAAGCCCGCGGGCGCCCACCTGCTGCCCCCTGGTGGCCATACCGGAGAGCCACTGGCCAACCCCGCGCGCTCTCCAGGCCTCCAGGCCAGCCTCTGCTCCGGGCTGCTCACCAGCCTGGTGCTGGCGTCACAAAGGGAGAAGAATCCTGGGCCCTGAACCTCCAGGGCAGCCCAGTGGCTGGGCCCAGCTCATTGCCTGACTTGGGAAGGCAGCTATGGAAATTGTCAAACGGGGCTGGTTGGATGCTGCTGTGTTTTGGGTGCCTGCTGGGTGGCCTCTGGGTGCTAAAAAGCAGGACATCCCTTATGCTGAAATGGAAAGACCTGTTGGAGTCAGATAAGTTTGGCTCTACCACTTAGTTGTTGAGTCTTTTCATCAATTTACCCAATTTACTCACTCATCACTCATCCACCTATCTACTCACCCACCAATCCACCCATCTACTCACCCACCCATCCAGTCATCCATCCACCCATCCACCCACTCACCCCCACACAATCCACCCACCCACTCACCCACCCATTGAGTCATCCATCCACCCATCCATCCACTCACCCATTCACACATCCATCCATCCACTCACCCACACACATCTACCCATCCACCCCACCCATCTAGACATCCACCACCCATCCATGTCTCCCTCCATTCATCCGTCCATTCAGCTACCCACTGGTCCTTCCTTTCCTTTTTCCTTACTCCCTCTCTACCTCATTTCCTCCTCATTTTCAATCATTCATAATTTGTTGAGTGCCAACATGTGCACCTTGTGCTAAGTAAGCTCTGTGACCCTGGTTAAGTTACTGTGCCTCCTTGAACTTGGGTTTTCACATATGTAAGTTGAGCAACAATGATATCTCAACTTCACAGAGTTGTTGGGAAGATTAAATGAAATAACTCGCAGGTGAAATACCTAGTCCACAGTAGATGCTCTGTAGTGGTGATTATCAGGTCTGAGATTTAGAAGACACCTAATCTTCTGGAAGCTTTGATTTTGTTAGGGAGTCTTGGTATAGGTAGGTAAAGTAGTTGGGGAGGCTTTTTTAAAAAAAATAATTTTTAGTTGTGATGGATATAATACCTTTTTTAAAATTTATTTATTTTTATGTGGTGCTGAGGATGGAACCCAGTGCCTCACACGTGCTAGGTAAGTGCTCTACCACTGAGCCCCAGCCCAGCCCAGTTGGAGAGTTTTAACAAGCACACAATACCCAAAGGCCACTGACAGCGCCTGTGTGCTAACTCTAGGCCTAGGGCTGAGGCAGTGCAAAGTGAGGGTGGGTGAGCAGCTGGGAGAGCTCCTCCCTAGCCAGACTTTCAGGATTTGGTGTTGCTAAGAGAGATAATCAGTCAGAGGACAAAGTCCCATACCTCCTTCTTCTTTTTTTTTTTTTTTGGTGGTGCTGAGGATGGAACCCAGGACCTTATGCATGCTAGACAGACACCCTACCACTGATCTATGCCTCCAGTCCCCCAAGGTGCCATGTCTTGGTTTTACTTGCATTTCCAACCCATCAGCCATGGCACCTGCCTTTCCCCACAGCCCCCCAATCAGCAAGAAGCCATTAGTTATTACTAAATTCAGCTAATGCAGTTAGTCCAGGAGTAACTGTGAATCTTGACAGAGGTTACTAGATTCCTTGTAGGGGAGGGTTAAAGGATTCTGACCTAGTCAATGATTATTAAGTATTCGTTACTTGCCAAAGGTTATTAGTTAATATATGCTGGATTCTTCATATTCCTCTGAGGAGGGATTTTTACATCCATTTTCAGAGGAAGAGACTGAGGGTCAGACAGGAGGAATGGCTTTGCTGTATAGCTAGTAGCTGTAGAGCCAGGGTTCCAACTCAGGTGCTCTATTCATTGCTTTCCCCTCTTTGTCCTCTGTTTTCTCTCATACTCTCTCCAGGAAATTTAACACCCCAGGTAAGAACCACTTCTCTGCATTTGGATCTTCTACATTGTTGGTCTGAGCACCCCACAACTCTCCCTTCCCCTTGAGGGAGGGCTAAGCAGTTCCCCTCCCTGGAGGGGGCTCAGGGAAACCCCAGGGGTCCCCCTTCTGTAGGAGGAACCCTGAGCCCAGCTCTGGGTCTGTTAAACTCCACTATACTTGGGATATGCCAGGGCACCCCCCACCCCGTGCTGGGGAGGAACCCAGGGCTTCATGCCTCTGAGCTGCATTCCTGCCCAAGCCAGGGCATCTTGGGGGGTCACAGATGTCTTCAGGAGTCTCTGGGCCTGTCTTGGGTTTCTTCACTTTTCTTACTAAATACTTTTTAGAAATCACTAAAATAGCTCGTATAAGTCACAGAAAATGAATGAAGTCCTCATGCGGCCGTTCCAACGTGGTTCTCTCTCTCCTGACCAGTCCCAGCCAGGGGACTAGGGGTCCGGCAATCAGCTGGGGTGAAGCGGACCTGTGGGGCTGGGGTCCCTGTCCTGAGGGAGGACTGGTGTGTGTGGGGGTGGGGGATGGGTGCAGGGTTTCCTGGGCGGGGGAGGGGAGGGGCGCTGTGCAGAGGGAGCCGGCTTCCAGCAATTCGGGTTTGAGAGGCTGCAGGAGGCGCCCCCAGATGCTGCCTGCAGCACCTATTTGATGCGTCAGTGGGTACAAGGGGAGAGGTGTTCTTAGGTCCTGCAGCAGAAGCTGGGTGCCCGGCGGCCAGCGGTACTGCAGGAGGCTCCCAGAAGATGCTCCTGAAACCCGGGCCCCACCTGGGGAGTGAGGCTGGCCAGCCCCTTTGAGGATCGCTCAGCCTTTCCAACTCTGTGTATTTCCCTTTAAGATTAAGCTCCTGAGAATGTCCCGCTACCTTCCTGATTTTGTTAGGGAGTCTTGATATAGGTAGGTAAAGCAGTTGGAGAGATTTTTTTTTTAAAATAATTTTTTAGTTGTGATGGACATAATACCTTGTGCTTGGGGAGTTCATCTTGAGTAAGAAAGAAGGAAAGAAAGGATAAAAGGAAGCCCTTCTGCTTGCAGGGAAGGAGTGTGAGGAAGCTGTCCAAGACACAGGACCCACAAAAGACGGCTAAGAAGTGCCCTGGATTCCTGCTTCATAACAACATACTGCAAACAGCTCCTGTTGCATTCATAGTAATAGTGACCGCCTCATATGCACCAGATTATTTATGCATGTGGGTGTCCGGGTTATTCATTTTCCCTATTTGACTTGATGTATTCATGTACTTTTGTATTCATTTATTTTGGGGGTACTCAGGATTGAGCCTGGGGCCCTCTACCACTGAACTATATCCTCAGCCCTTTTTATTTTGAGACAGGGTTCTGCAGAGTTGCCCAGGCTGGCCTCAAGCTTGGGATCCTCCTGCCTCAGCCTCCTGAGTTGGTGGGATGACAGGTGTGCCCCACCACAGCCAGCTCTTTTTTTTCTATTTTCAATATGTACAGGAGCGGTAGGCTGGTGGCAGTGTCTGAGGGTGAGTTTGCAGGGTTCTGGGGTGTGCAGGCTCCAGGGTGTTCTTGGAAAGGTGGGAGCGGGAGGTGGCTGGAGGGTGCCCAGCTAGTTGCTTGTGGTGGGGCCCCCTTTCTTCTTCTTGTCCTGGCAGACCACACACTTGTCTGCCAGGTGTCCCAGGTGACCTCACCTCTGGGAGTGCTCAGCAGTCTCCCAAGCTTCAGTTCCTGTGTCCTTTTCATGTAGGTCCCCTGGAACCCTGAGACCCAGAAGTTTTTATGGTGTCTATGTGACAAATGAGAAGGCTGGTTCCAGAATGGGGAAGTGACTTGTCCAAAGTCCTAGCTTTGAGCCCAGGCCCATGGACCGTGGCCTACCCCCACCCCAGTCAGAGGGAGAATCCGGGTCAGGAGCCTCCCTCCACGTCCAGTTGCCAAGTGCCAGTCCACAGTCGGGCTTGGTTTGGTCCACTGTGTTTTTTTTTAAAAAGCTTTGAAAAATCAGATTTTATGTTGCTGTGACTTGAATGTATGATCAAAAATTCATGTGCTGGGAACTCTGTACCCGTGTGGGGGTGCAGAGGCTTTGGCAGAGTCCTTGTGAATGGGTTAACTTGGGGATTATTGTGGTTGTGGCTTTATTATAAAAGCGCTCTCTCTCTCTCTGGACCCCTGGGCCCCATGTTCCTGCAATGCTTTCCACCATGTTTGACGCAGCGCGATGCCCACACTGGAGCCTGGCTCTGGACTTCAGCCTCTAGAACCACACATTAGACAAACCTCTCTTCTTTGCAAGTTCCTGAGTCTGTGTCATCCAGTTGTAGCAACAGGAGACAGACTAGGTCACCAGTTAGACCCAGACTCCAGCTTCTCTTGACAAGAACTGGGCGGCCGGTCAGGCAGCCCGTGGTGGACAGGTTCCTGGGGCTTTGGAAACATTATGCAACTGTTAACTGTTGTTATCATGGTTTCCTGGTTGTAGGTATGGTCACAGGCTGCATTGAGACCAGGATGGAGCCAGAACAGGAGTTCATGCCTGAAGGGGCGAGGGAGCAGGGGGGAGGGGGAGCGCTCCCAGGGCCACCTAGAGGGCACCTGAAAAGAGTGACACCCTCAGGAAGTGCCCCAGGTAGGCTCTTCAGGAGGGATTCCCGAGGGAGGGAGGGAGGTATGACAGTCAGGAGAGCATGTGCCATGTGCCCTGTGTGTTGGTGCCTCTGAGACCTTCCCATGGGACGTAGTGTGGAGCAGGAGGTGGCGAGATCCGTGATCCTGAAGCTGTAGAGGCCCGGGCTGGCATGTGTTTGCATTCCTAGTTTTTAACAAAAAAGTTTAACAAATAAAGAAAACCATTTGTTTTAAAGTTAAAAAAAAAAAAGCTTATTGACAGGAGGCATCACAATACCAGCCCTTAAATTACACTACAGAGCTCTAGTAAAAAAAACAGTGTGGTATTCAGCACAAAAATACACGTGAAGACCAGCGGTACAGAACAGAAGACCCAGAGACAAACCCACATACACAGTTATCTCATCCTAGACAAAGGAACCATAAACATGCACTGGAGCAAAGACGGCCTCTTCAACAAATGGTGCTGGGAAAACTGGAAATCCATATGTAGCAAAATGGAATTAAACCCCTATCTCTCACCATGCACAAAACTAAACTTAAAAGTGGATCAAGGACCTAGGCATTAGACTAGAGACCCAACAAATAGATGAGAAAATGTCCAACATCCTCTAGTAGTTAAAAGCAAATTAAATCTTCACTGAGATTTCATTTCACTCCAGTCAGAATAACAATTATCAAGAATACAAGAAACAGTCAATGTTGGCGAGGATGTGGGAGAAAATCAAACTTCTTGCTGGTGGGACTGCAAATTGGTACAACCACTCTGGAAAGCAGTATGGAGATTCCTCAGAAACCTTGGAATGGAACCACCATTGGACCCAGTTATCCCACTCTGTGGCATATACCCAATGGATTTAAAATCAGTATAGTAGAGTGACACATCCATATCAATGTTTATAGCAGCTCAATTCACTATAGCTAAGCTATAGAACCAACTTAGGTGCCTTTCAACAGGCGAATAGAGAAAGAAAACGTACTATATATACACAATGGAATATTATTTGGCCATAAAGAAGAATGAAATTATGGCATTCGCTGAAATGAATGGAACTAGAGAATATTATACTAAGTGAAATAAGCCAATCCTGGAAAACCAAAGGCCAAATGTTCTTTCTGATATGCAGATGCCAACACACAATAAGGGGGTAGGAGGGGAGAAGAGAAGTTCTTTAGAATGAAGGGAAGGAGGGGTGGGAATGGGAAAGACAGTAGAATGAACTGGACATCACTTTCCTGTGTTCACATATGAATGCACAACAAGTGTAACTCCAAATTATGTTCAAAGAATGGGAAGATCTACATCATGTATATAGGCTATTCCAAAATACACTCTACTGTTATGCATATCTAAAAAGAACAAATTAAAAGAAAAAGAAACTGTCCCTACTTATAACCAGCTTTAAAAAAAAAGCTTATTGAATATGGCTATTGGGGAAGAACAGAATACGTACAACTGTGCAGTTTGTGTCTGAAGCTAAGTGTTGTTAAAAAATAAGTCAAAAATTTAAAGTTAAAAAGCAAAATGGTTACGGCAGCTAACATTAATTTGGATGACTTTCCCATAGACTGTGGACAGTGTTGACAGTCTGCCCCTGTCCTGGGCCTTCGCTGCTTGGCACTGTCACTCACCCAGAGTGACTGCCAGGCCTGCAGGCTCTGTTCATGGCAGGGTCCTCCCTCAGCAGGTGCACCACTTAAGACCCTTTGTGTTGTATTTCTGCTGTACCTGTTCTGTGTTTAGAGATGTTTAGACACAGATCCTCCCCAGGTCTCCCAGTGGCCTCTAGATTCAGCATTGCTGTGCCCAAGAGGAGCGCAGGTGAGCCCCGCCTGCCACCTGGTGTGGACAGGGACAGCTCGCCCTGGGGTTGGTGCAAGGAAGCAGTCACTGAGACCTGGTCGGTCGGCTGGCTTCTTGGAATGCATGTGCTTCTTGGAATGTATGCACATGGCTAAGTGACAGACTGTATTTGCATCTTCTGTCTGTTGTTTGTCCCTTAGGGTGACAAAAGCTTTTCTTTCTGGAACAGCCAAACTCTCCATCTGGCCTGGTAGGCAGAGGAGTCTGCAGAGGCTTGTCGTGCACATGTGCGTGTTGGACCGAGAAGCACAGCTGGCAGAGGAAAACCCCTCAGAGCAGGCCACCCCCGCCACGGTGGCAGTGCCTTTGGGGCTGCCTCTGCAGACCTTGAGCCTGCTCTGACCTGGGCAACTGCTGGGCAGCAGGCCTCTCAGTGTCCCCAGCACCCTGGCCTGTCACACGAGCCGGCTCCCCCTGCTCAGCAGCAGACACCTTCAGACCAGAGTGGGGTCACTAAGGAAGGCGTTATCTTGTCCCAGTTCCCCTCCTGGGCTGCCTGACCCTGCTCTGGACAGCATAAAAAGTCAGCTCAATGACGCAGGCAGACTTTAAAGCCTGTTCCGGATGGCAGCTGGGCTCTGAGCTGTCAATCAGAGGTGAGCCAGCACACTCGGGCTGCCTGCCAGGGCTCTGCCCAGAGAGGGCAGGGCACCGAAGCTGTGCAGAGCTCCTGCCCAGCTTTCTCTATTTATAATTTCCCCTGATAATGGGGCCATTCATTCCGGCTGCAGGCCCCTAATTGCTCTGCAGTAGAGGGATGACAGCCTGATCATTAACTTCACAGAATCTGAGCTTGGGCTTTGTCAACAGAGTCCATCTGCTGTCACCAGGGGCGATCTTTGCCCTTCATTGTGGCAAAGGGCAGTTAGAAAAAAAAAAAAAAAGAAAACCTTGGCTTGGTTCCAGGTCCAGTAGATTTTTATTATTTTCTGGCCTCAAACTATCTGCAGAGGGGACAAAATGCTCTCTCCCCTGTGCTAGAAGCTGTGGTCAGCTGGTCACTGTGCCCCTGGCTGAAGGTGTCAGTTTGGTCCCTGGAGATCGGGGATGTGAGTGCTAAAAGGGACCTTAGGGACATTTTGGTTGGGATTAATAACTGGGCCCGCTTCAGCCAACAGCTATTTGGCTAGCAGAATATTTCAAAAACTTTTTCTAAAAAATTGAGGTTAAAATCGACATTACAAAAAAATAACCATTTAAAAATTCAATGACATTTCAGCCTATTGACAATGGGTACCACCGTCACCACCGTCAGCTTCCAAATATTTTAATCACCCAGTAGGCACCTCTGTCCCCATCACGCACTTGCCCCGCGACCTGCCACCCACAATCTGCTTTGTCTTTTCTGGGTATTTCACACAAACGGAGTCTCTCAGCGCGAGTCCTTCTGCGCCGGCTTCCCTCCCTGGGCAGGATGTTCCGAGGCTCCTTTTCGGAGGAGGCCACATTTGGAAAGGTTTCGGATTCCTCTCTGACAGCCGCGTAGAGATACAGGGCGCGACAGTCACTCAGGGCAGTGCGCAGCTCTGCGGCTTGCGCTGCGATGTGCATCAGAGCGCTTTGTGACGGCAATTAAATTGACTGTGGGAAATCGGCTCAGGAAGTCGGGTTCCCCTCGCGGCCCCAGCCCTTGAGCTCTGGGAAGGCCCACCCACCCCCACCCACCCACCCCCACCCACCCCTACCCACCCCTACCCTTCCTGGGCGCTCAACTGGCCCTGGAAGCGGAGCCAGGATCCTGGTACATCGCAGGGGCTGGATCGATGCGGGGCCTGAGCCGCAGCCCAGCCGGCTCGCGCTGACACCAGGTGGCGTAGTGACCCGGCTGCAGGAGAACCCACGTCCTCGCTCCCACTGCCTGGTGGCTCTTTCCACCGCCTTAGTTATCCGAGTTCCTGTGCGAAGGGGTGTGACCTTATGCAAACGTTGGAAAACACGGACAAGGATATTAAAACCCCACCATTCTCCACGCGTGAGCCGTCCCGGTTCACATTTTAGGGTGCTGCCAGTTCTGTGGACACAGTGTTGCAAGGTATGAAAGTTTACCTGAATAAAAGTCACCCAGTATGGACAGTTTCATATTCTGCATTTCTCATTGTAAATGCTGGAATGAGGGTGGCCCCCCATGCACTCCCCCCTGAACTGGGCGGAAAGGCAGCCTGCCCCTGGCTCCTCGGCTGCGGGTGGCCCCTTCCCACTCCGGGGCTGGCAGACCCGCAGCCTCCATCAGAGCGCGGGCGGCCCCAGGCTTGAGGAGGATGGTGACGGAGGCCACGGAGCAAGCCCACCTGGTGAGGAAGGGAGGCTCCCCTGCCCGTTTCCTACTCCCGCAGGGAGGGCTGTCGTGGGGTTAGGGTACGTGTGGGTCTCACGGGCCGCCGAGAGCGCGCTGCCGGGCTAGCACCGGTTTGCGGGTGGGTGTGACGCTTGGAATCTGCTGGGATCCGTGTGGCAGCGAGGCCGCCGGGCTCCATCCACACCGTCAGAGCCGCGCTGTGCTCTCCATGGCCGCCAGATGGCGCCATGGAATAGGAAACGGGTATGCCGGCTCGGTGTTTCTGGAAGGGGAAATAGAAGCCGGGCAGAGCCAGCTTTTTAGTGAAAAGAAGGAAGCAACCTGGAAACGCACAGCCACTAAGGGTATGTGCACCATGCCGGGCGAGGAGCAAGGGCGAGAGCGGGCGGAAGCAGAAGCACCCCGGGAGGAACAGGGAGTCATGCATGGGTTGTCATGGCAACCCTGTAGGAGAGGGAGAATGACGGGTGACTCCTGTGGGCCTGGTCAGTGCAGCCCGGCTCAGGCACCTATGATTTGATGCTAGCACTTCGCCTTGTTTCTGAGCCTCAGGTTTGTAGGATGGATTGTCCCTTTAGGTTGTAGGACAGATGAGAAAAGCAGAAACCAAAGGCCCTCATCCCTGCAAAAGTCTCACCCGCCTTGCTGGGAAAGTGCAAGATCCTGGGCTCCGGGTTGCCATCTTTGACGGGCCTCTCTGGGTGCCTAGACATAAAAAGATAAAAAGTGCCCCATATAGATTTTGGTTGTGTGGGATCAGTGAGGGAATGTGCATTATGGAACATCATCAAGAGTTCAAGTTGTGAGATAGTCAGTAGATACTATAGGCCATCAGGTTTGGAACAGGGCCAGGAAGCCTTCTTGGAGCAGACGGGCTGGAGCTGGGTTTTAGAACAACAGGTAGGGAGTAAGAGATCAAAACCCCCGAATCCTGGGCTCAGGCCACAATTTGAGCAAAGCCCTGGTGCAAGTGCCTGGAGGTGGTGATGGCTGCAGGGCACAGAGGACCTGCTTGCTGCTGTTGGGAGAAGAGGAGCCGTCGCAGCAGGCTAGAGGGGAGGGCACCCCTGGGAAGCCCGGGGAGCCCAGCTGGAGGCTTGCGTTGGCCTTGGCAGTCAGGTTGGAGATCCCTGTCCTGGGGCAGCCACCAAATCAAGACCTTCTTGGCTCCACTGCCAGGTATGTAGGGTGTCAGTGTGTGTGTGGGGGTTTAGGGGCCTGGGGCTGAAGCAGTCAGCAAGGACATCGAGGCCTAGAGGTGACAGGGTCTCCCGCAGTTCAGCGTCTCCTGGCTGGTTGAGGTCTCATCTGCAAGTGGGGGGAGTAGAGGGTAGGATGGCATGGGGACATGGGTGGCATGGGGGCATGGATGGTCTGACATGTTCAGAGGTTCTGTTCTGGACAAACCCGCAGCCTCACCTCCAGATCAGTGGGAGCAACCCCTTGGCCTGCCTTCTTGCGACAGCAGGGTGAGGAGCCCAGAAGCCTGCCCAGGCCCTTTTTCTGGTGAGTACTGGGTCTGTGTGGACTACACTGGACCCAGAAATGCATCTGGGTCATGCGTGCTTCTTAATGGACAGCTCCTCAGGCCCCTGGAGAAGCTACCTCAGGAGAATAAGGACCTCAGTGTTTCTGATAAGTGTTCCCTAAACTGTGCTTGGAGCAAGACTCTGGGCTTTGTGGATGCGATTGGCACAGGTAAACCACTGTCTGACTCACTGCTCATTTTCTGGGAAGAGTGGCCGATGTTTATCAGGCCCATGCATTGCACTTACTTCCTTGCAAGCCATTTCCTTTTGGTATGACTCTCCCCGTGTTAGAGCTGAAATGGGCTCAGAGAGGCCAAAAGTCACGCAGCTGGTAAGGGACAGAGGCGGGATTGTAAGCCAGGCCTGTCTGGGAGCTCCGTGGACACTCATTCATTTCACTCAGAGGCAACAACTGTCCTCCAGTCTGGCTCTCCAGCTGCCGTCTGCTGCTGACTCTCTCATTCCCTTGTCTGAATCTGTATCGTCCACTTCTGTGCTGTGGATCCACGGACAGCAGCCATTTGGGAAATCTTGCAAAGAAGGTGCCAGGAGACAGGGAGTGAAGGGATGACAAAATAGGGTCTATGGCTGTGAGCCACTTTGATTCAATCTGTGGATTTTTTTTTTTTTTTGAACAGAGATTGAACTCAGGGGCACTCGACCACTGAGCTACATCCCAGCCCTATTTTGTGTTTTATTTAGAGACAGGATCTTACTGAGTTGCTTAGCACCTCGCCCTCGCTGAGGAGGCTGGCTTTGAACTCACAGTCAGCCTCCTGAGCTTGTGGGATTCCAGGTGAGCACCACTGTGTCCCGCAATCTATGGATTTTGAAATGTTTTGCTAAAGATTTCTTTCCATCTCCTAAGCCTAATCATCATCATCATCGTCATCATTGTCACCATCACTGGTATTGTCATCATCACAACCTCCACCACCACTAACATCACCACCACTGTCACCATCACCACCACCTCTACCATCACCACCATCACCACCACCTCTACCATCACCACCATCACCATCATCATTATCACCACCACCACCACCACCATCACCGTCACTATCACCATCAACACCACCACTACCATCACCACCATCACTATCACCATCACTACCATCACTACCACCACCACCATCACCATCACCACTACCACCACCACCACCACCATCACCACTATCACTACCACCATCACCACCACCATAACCACTACCATCACCACCACCACCATCACCACCACCATCACCACCACCATCTCCATCACCACCACCACCACCACCATCACCACCACCACCACCACCATCACCACCATCACCATCACCATCTCCATCACCATCTCCATCACCATCACCATCACCACCACCATCATCACCACAGTGGTAACAATGGGATGAGTAACAGTGGCATTGAGCAATCACTGAGAAATTCTCGTGCACTAGTTGCTGAGTTCGTTTAATCCTCTTAACAGCGCTACAGATAAGCTGTTTCCTGCCCTTTACAAATGGCAATTACTGAGGCCTGAAGAGGGAGATGATGCACCCAAAGCTACATGGCAGGTAAGAGCTGGCTGGTGTCAGCAAAGTCAGCCCTCCCGCACAGATTCAACTGCTGGGGTTGAGAGTATTTGAAAGCAATGCATCCATACTGAAGAAGACTTTTTCCCTTGTCACTACTCCCAAGCAGTGCATCTTGACAACCCAGCACAGAGCATGTGCACCTTGCCAGGTGTTATCAGTCACCTAGAGTTGATTCAGAGGAAGTAGGAGGATGTGCGCGGGGTTGTGTGAATGCTACCCATTTCACACAGGGGCTTGAGCACTTGTGGGCCTTGCCAAGTGGCTGCCTCCAGCCAGTGCACTGCCGCTCTGAGGAGCAGGTGAGACTCAGCAGGCAAGCCACGTGCCCGTGTCCACTGCTGGGGTGGATCTGAGGGTGAAGAGATGAGGCTCCCAAGCCAGGAAGTCTCACTGTGGAGTCCCCAAGTCAGCAGGCAGAGCAAGGGGAGCCCTAAGCTTCCCAGACCCATGGCCCCCACAGCCTTTCCCCCACAGCCTGCTTGTGCCTGGCCCACAGTGGCTTGGTCAGGGCTGTGTCCAGGCTGGGAGCTGGCCAACGATGGCAGGGCCCCTGTTCATTTCTTTGCTACCTGCCTTCCTGTCCCATAGGCAGTGCTGTCACATGTGCATGAGGATGTGACCAGGTGAAAAATGTCCCTAGGGGTGGTGTTGGTGAGTGTGTGGATAGCTTGGGCCCCTGGCGTCCTCTGGACTATGGCCTGTCCTTTTCAGTGGTTTGAATGGCCCCTCCAAAGCCATGATGAGGTGTAACTGCCCTTGAACAACTCGAGGCCGCGGGGTCTGTAGAGGGGATGGTTGGTGCCGAGTGGTGGGAGTGGATTTGTTGTGACGTGGCCCCTCGTGGCCCCTCGTGGCCTCTCCGTCTCGGGCATGTCCTTCCTCTGCGTGAGAGGCCTTTGGCTACGACTTGGCAAGAACATCTTGGACGTCTAGCCTCTGGAGCTGTAAGGAAGAGACTTCTATTCTCACCAATGCCCCCGCCCTGGGCATTCTGTTATTGATGCAGGAAGAGGACTAAGACGCCCCAGTGTCCCCTGGGAGGCCTCCTAAACAGAAGCGAGCCTTTAGCAAATGGCCGAAGCTCGAAAGGGGCCATTTCCATCCTGGTAACAAACCTGCATAAGGCAGCTCAAACCCTGGGCCCAGTCCGCCTGCCCTGCCGGGGGCTGGTGCAGTCTC